AAAATATCGTCTGTTTTCACTGAGATCTGATTAGTCATTTTTTTGTCCTGGAGATCTGTGTTTCTTTTTATGGCTTCCTTAAGGTTGACAGAATACAGTTCCAGACCTGAGAAAGAAAATCAATCAAAATTGAGAGTTTTACCCACTTTATTGACCACGTTGCAATAGTAAATACAAAAAGTAAGTTACATGAAGCAGAAATAAGAGAGAGAGAGAGAGAGAGAGAGAGAGAGAGAGAGAGAGAGAGAGAGAGAGAGAGAGAAAAAGAAACTTATAGTGCTTAGAAAGGAGATTATTTCGGGCAAAATTCGTAAAAATCACTTGTTGTCTTTATCGTTTATTTTACTACTGATTTCAAAACCACTTTTGATTAAAATTCAAAGTTAAAAAAAAAATTGATAAAAAAAAACAAACAGACAAATTGGTCAAAAAAAAAGGGAAAAATACCTTGAGCTGATAGAGTTGAAAAGCCACTAGCAGTAGATATGACGGCCTGTGTTGCTGTTGGAATGGGTTGTATTGTAGTTGTATCTGTTAAAATAAATGAAAAGATTTAATTTTCTAAATCACATCCTGTGTTAAGAATTTAGATTTGTTTGAGTCATATACACTGCTTTATAAAACACTAAAAAACACTAGCATTAAGCTTGATAGACACTGCAATGTAAAACAAGGGAGTGGTTTTGACCCATTGGTGCTATAAAGTACACTTTGACATGTACATGTATAGTGATTATAACTTTGCAAATAAGTATGAACTGATAGAAAATGAAGGACCATCTGACCTTGTGTTCCAAGCTTGTAAACTGTCATTCTGCTTCCATCTTGTTCTTTATTGTAGTATCCAACTACTTCATTWGAGTGCAGTAGGAGAGGCCCATCTACCAACTTGTTAATGCTGCTATCTTCCATAAACAGGTGGCCATTGAGTGATGTTAATTCCAATGCTTCACACTTCACAGATCCCTTCTCAGGCAGTGTAACCTTTCTTGTGCCTTTATACCGTCCTTTTRCAATGGGGTGGCACTGAGATGGAATTTTTTTACTGTGTTTTTCACAGAATTCTTTAAAATCCATTGTTTTTAGGTCTTTATGACAGACTGGCAAAAAGACATGGCATTCTTTTTGGAGAAAGAATACACCATCTGTTGCATGTTTTATGGTACAATGTTTATCTCTATCTGGTTTAGTAAAGCGGTGGACTTTTATCTCAGTTTCGACCAAATTGCTCAATTTCAAATTTTCATGACAACAAAAATATATAAAAAACTTTGTTTTCTCATGTTGTTCCAAGATTGTGTCATCTTCAAATAACTTCTTAAAATTCTCATCATT